GACCCCATGCAAGGACTCTTTTCTCACCTGATGAGAAAAGAGATGCTTTGCACCATTCTTTGGACATTGTGTTTGTTATCAGTCAATGAGATTATTTTCTAGGAAGTCATGAACTATATCTGCAGTTGGGGCTTAGAGGGTGATATGTCAGAGTGGAGAGAGGTATTTGTTGGGATTTCGTCACCCTTTGGTCAATGACACCAGACTGCATTTTTAGCACACTTATTTTGTTGTGTATCCCAAGGAGGAAGTTAAATTTAGCACATTTTCTGCTAGCCACAAAATAAGGAAAGACCTCCCTCGTCTTGGGTTAGTCACAGTCTTTTATGTCTAGCAGTGGGATCTCTCCTTGTAAATTGCTAGTCCTCTGAGGAACCCAACTTTATAGCATGAACTATAACCATAAATCCTTAGAATATATGAAGAAAGGTACTGATTGAGTGGTATGTTCATAGTGATTTCTTAATCCTGGGAATGTTAGGAATGGTCCATTCAGATGGAGTGTGTGTGTGTGTGTGTGTGTGTGTGTGTGTGTGTGTGTGTATGTGTGTACATCTCAGCATGCAACCATGTGTGTAGGCCTGGTAGTGTAAACAGGGGACTCTGGTTGACCTTCTTCAGGACCTTCTTGCACCTGCTCCTGAGAATGTGTTGACATGGTGGTGGGGAAATCAAATCAGCATGTTGTGCAGCCTCCTAAAGTGGTTCTGGAGTAAGGACATGAACATTCAGAGCCATGGACCCTTATTCTCCACATCAGGGCCTTCTGGGTCAGGTGTCAGAGACAGGGTCCCTTAGACCAGTGACTGTAGATGGGGACAGAAGAATCTCTTAGGGAATTTTAAAATATCTATATCTATATCTATCTATCTATCTATCTATCTATCTATCTATCTATCATCTATCTATCTATCTTATTGATTTCAGAGAGTAAGAGGGAGAGATAGAAACATCAATGATGAGAGAGAATCACCAATTGGCTGCCTCCTACTGGGGCATCCTCTACTGGGGATTGAGCCCATAACCCAGGCATGTGCCCTTGACCGGAATCCAACCTGGGACCCTTTAGTCCATAGGTGACACTCTATACACTGAGCCAAACCAGCTAGATCTTAGGGAATTTTTAAAAAATGTAGATGTCATGGTCAGACTCCATCCAGATTTACCAAATAAACTCTGGGAAATAGTGTCCAGGAATCTATCTATATATATAAAAGTCAAGCAACTGGAATGATGGAACGACCGGAATGACCAGTCACAATGATGTGCACTGTGGTGGACAACAGGCCCATCAGGGCTCCAATCAGCCACCCCCATCCTCCTACGGCCCCTCCCTCTGGTCTTCTTGGCCCCTGATTGGCTCCCTCCACCCCAATTGGGGGGCAGGGCCAGCCAGCCAATTGACTGTGGCCCCTTCTTCAATACCAGCCCAGCCCTATCCCATATGTGCATGAATTCATGTACCAGGCCTCTAGTACTTAAAAAAAATACCCCAGTTGTTTTGTAAGCTCGTTTGGTTTGGTGACTACTACCTCTCTTGACCTGGCCTCCAAAGGGGTGGTAATATCATTAGTGTTCAAAAGTTCTTTTGACTTTACCTCCTAAAGATTTCTTGTGTCCTCTGTATGTCCACTGCCCACTGGCCAAGTCCAAGCTACCAGAATCTCTGGCTTGGACCACTGTAGTAGCCTCAAAGTTCCCAATCTGTACTCTACAAAGCAGCCAGAGTGGTCATGTCACGTTTCCAATTGGATTGTCACACTCCCATCCCACCCTGACACTCAGTTCAGTTATTTTTTCCCATTGCTTACAGGATGAACACAACATCCTTTTCATGGCCAGAGGGCCTGCATGAGTAGGCTCCCACCCACCTCCCCAGCTTCATCTCACAGCCATCTTCCCTGCTAATGGACTTGCACTTAAAGTTCTCTCTAGATACCCCTCCCCTCCCTTTGCACTTCATGCTCAGCTGTTATTACTTTTGAGGGAGATCCTCCCACCTTTCAGGGACAGCCCTTTTCAGTTGCAATTTTGTTTTGATTTACATAATAATTTGATTAAGTGTGCATCTTCATGTAGATTGTAATTTGCCAGGAAGGTAAACAGTGAAGAAGGGACCCTTTTTCTTCACTATTGTAGTCTTAGCAGTTGGTAAGCAGTAAGCTCTAAACACAGGGTGGCACCCTGGCCAGTGTGGCTCAGTTTGTTGAGCATACCTCCTGTGCACCAAAAGGTTGCCAGTTGGATTCCCAGTTTGGGCACATGTCCAGGTTTTGGTTCAGTCCCTGGTTAGGGTGTGTGTGGGGCAACTGATCAAGTTTTTTTCTCCAATTGATGTTTCTCTCTTTCTCTCCCCCTCCCTCCTCTTTTTTCCTCTCTCTCAAAAACCAATAAAAATATATTAAAATAAATAAGTAAATACAGGGTCAGGCAAAAGTAATTACAATTGTTTGTAGGGAAAGTAATACAGCCTGGCCAGAGTGGCTTAGTTGGTTGGCGTGTCCTCCTGGATACTGAAAGTTTTCTGGTTCTAATCCTGGTATGGGCACATGCCTGGGTTTTGGGTTGGATCCCTGGTTGGGGTTGGGGCAAATATAAAATGCAACTAATTAAGTCTCTTCCTCTCTCCTTTCCTCTCTTTTAGCATATTTTCAAGCGAGAATTTTAAAAATATAATAATAAATTAAAAAATAATACAATAATTAATAACAATAATTAATAATAATATAAGAATAAACTGTTTTGTGTACTCACAACTGTAAACCTACTTTTGCTCCACCCTGTACCTGCCCTCTTCTTCATATGGCTGCGTTGGCAATCAGCAGTTTTCAGTCACTGAGAAGACATGGGGTCTTGGGATGGGTCAGAGCTTTATAATTACACCCAGAGTTCCATTCACACATTTGTTCACTCATTCATCATGATATATGTGGCATTATGTGCAACTTTGAGCTGTGGATTTCTGGGTCTAGCTGGAGTCAGCCAGCACACAGCAGGAACTGGTGGTAACGATTTGAATACCTGGCATATCTCACTTATCTCGGCTCAGTTAAAACAAACATTTATTAAACACACACTAGGTGCCAGGTGTGCCCTTGTTCTTATGATCTATGGAGGAAAGATTTACATGAAATAAGTGGCTACACATTTATGAGTTTTACAAAAGGGGCAGTAGTGTGTGCCATGGAGACAAAGAAGAGGGGGCCCAAGTCCAGTCTGTAGGGGGCAGCGGGCAGAGACAGGCTTCCCTGCATAAGGACTATTTGAGGGGATGACTAAGAGTTAGGAAAACAGGCTAAATATGGTGCAGTCCAGGTGTAGGTCAATGTGAACTTCAGAAGATGGCTATTTACTGAGCAGCAGGGAGTACCCAGTTCTGCCCAATTCTCCTCCTGAGTTGGGGTCTGGCCCTTCCACACTCCCCAACCACCCTCTGAAGGGGTTGGCTGAGATGGTCCCTGCCAATCTCCGTCTAGAGGGCAAATGCCGGGCTAAGTGGAGAGGGAAAGTGTGTAAATGGGAAGCCCTGAGGGCCCCTTCTCTGACTCAGGCATCACATCGGCTGCTGTAAATTCAGCACCACTCCCGTCGCCAATATTAAACATCATCACCACCAGCAGTTTTTACTCATTTCTTTATTAATGTAGAAAAAGAGCCCAAGGCAGCTGGACCAGTAGTACAAAGCACGGCAAGTTAATACTATTCTGGTGAAAGGGTTGGCTTTACAAAAGAGAAGGAGCAGGTAGGAGCTGCCCTGATTCTGGGGCCAGGCCCAGCCTACTGTCCAGAACCTCATAGGAGCACCTGAAACCAGTCCCTGGGAGAGGATGATAGGTGGGTGGAGTAGGATGAACTGGAGACCATGGAGGACAGATGGCAGGGGTAGAGGACCAGGCAGTGAGAACCCTCCTGTGGCTGATGAGGACAGGAAACTGCTGGCATGAGACTCCCCACTGGGCCATGGGTAGGGGCTCCAGGTGGCCTCAGCTCTGGGAATAGGAAGAATCCAGACCTGGCCCTGGGTTGAAGGGCCTTTCCCTTCTCTCTCCACCAGGGGCCACCTTTGCTCTGTACCACAGGTGGGGCTTCAGGGCCCAAGGCACAGAGGGAGGCCCAGAGGCCTCCCCGTTGGGAGGAAGAGTGGGCAGGGAAGGAAGCACTTGAGTGATCCTGGCTTAGGCATCCAGGGTTGAGACACAGGGCAGGACAACAGCACCCCTGGGTAATGGGGCTGGAATGTGGGTCAGGGATGGCTTACCCATGGCCAGTTACCACATGGCAATGGTGCCTGCCTCGAACCTTGGCAAATGGAGTCTGCACCATCACCAGGTGTCAGCAGACCTGGGTTCTAGCCTGAGCTTTTCTGGAACAGAGCTATATCACTATGGGCCAGCCATGTCCTGCCCTGGCCTGCTCCTCATCCGCTGATGAGGGCTTTGGCTATGACCTCTCAGGTCATGGGAGAGACTCTGAAGCACGAGGGACTCTCCAGAACCTGCTCTCGGTAGCTAAGTGGGAACTGGTCCCAACCATGCCTTGGACACTGGCATGGGAGGGGACAAGGAGGTGGAGGAGGAGGATGTTCTTTCATGGAACCTACCCCCAAAAACATTCTGGAGCTAGGAAAGACTGTGGGAGCCTCTGCTTTGTCCAGGGGTAGAGAGGCTTCCCTCCCTGCAAAGGGAGGGGATGTGGTTCAGTACAGGCCCTTCACAACCACTATCTGGGTAACACTTGGCATGGAGAGAATGGGGTGGCACTAAGTGACCCTTTATGTTCTTCCCCGGGGGTGGGGAGCTCAAGGCCTCGTTGTGGCTTCTGCCTCCAGCCCTTGGCTTGGGGTCAGGAGTACTCTTCACTGTGTTCTTGCCTTGGGAACAGCCCAAGACTCTGACTGGCTGGCACATGTTAGTTGGTGAGGAAAGGGCAGAGGGTGAGTAAGCAGCCAGGGAGGTGAGAGCGACTCTCTGGCTTTCTCCACTTCCTCTGGTGAGAGCAGCTCAATCAACCGAGTCACAGATCTCTTCCACCACCGCATTGAAGATGTGCGGCTGGTCTGCGTAGACATGGTGCGACGCACCCTCAATTTCCTGTGAAGAGAGGAACTGCGAGGGTGAAACAGCTCTTTATTCCAGGCACTGGAAAGCTGTCAAACCACTTCTCTTCCTTTAGAACTGCTTGCCTCTCACCCATGAGCACTTGTCAGAAACAATGGCCCAGTTTTCTCCCTGGATCCTTGCGCATTTCCTGTAGGAGCCAAGGACTCTCAATATCCCATTTTCCTTCTCCCATGACCATTCTCTGTATCTTGCCTTCAGTGCTAGTCCCACCACCACTGATCTGCTCATTTTACCCACAGGCCCAGTAAACCAGGGTCCAATAGGCACCCAGCCTAACTAAGCACACTCCTTAGCAAATGAGGGTTGAGGGGGAAAGGAAAAAGGGAAGGCAGGAGTGTGGCAGGAAGGCTTCATGTCAGCCTCTTCATTCACTCTACTGTTCACAGCTCTGGTTTTGAGTGGGAATTAGAGGCAGGTAGCATGATGCCTGTGCCAGGAGAGAAGTGAAAGGCCTCCTAATTATGAAATGACAAAAAGCCAAACTTTTCAAGACCACTGTCTCATCTCCATCGGTTCATCCCTTGTTTCCCTGCTGACTCTTCCATCACCCTCTCCACCTCGAGTTGCTCATCTTTGTTGAGAGTCAACCAACATGTGCTGGCACTCAATGCACAGCTTTTCCACCTCAGTTCTGCCCCTTGGGTGGCCAACGTACCATGTCTCGGACATAGGAATCCGGCCGCTGCAGCTTCACCTTTTTCCCTGTACTGGTGTCTATCCAGGTGTTGGACCCATAGATCATGGTGATGGGCACATCTTTTCGAATCAAGTGAATTCGTTCTATCATTGGGCGCCGGGCCCAGCCGAAGGACTCCATCATGGCTTTGAAGGCCGTCTCACCACTAAGAAGCAAAACAGAGCAAGGAATTAAACCCCACAGCATACAATGTCAAATTGTTGGTCTCTTCAGAGGCTGAGGCAGTATCTTCATCATGTTGGTATTCCTCTCAAACCCTGGGTTTGAGACTCATTAGATATGGGTCTAAGATTAGGAGAAAGGACTGAATCTCTAGAGGCCTCTTAACACAAAACAGAGTTAGAGGGATACACCTGTGAAAACCCCTAGGACACAGAGTATTGTCCAAGAATGCAATGGGTTAATATTTATTCAAAAAAATTTATATGTCATGCCCTAACCTGAGTGAAGGGACATATGAACAAGACACATTTCAGCTCACAATTTAGGCATTAAATAACGAATTATATGATTCATTAACTACACATTTCCCAAGAATTATGAAAGGGTAGTGGAGTGCTAGGAGAACACAGACTAAGGACTTAGCCGGCCGGGAGTGGAGGGAGAAGGTCAGGAGTTCACTGAGTCTCAAGAGCGAGCACTATTGTTGTACAAAGGGTTTCCTGAGGAACTGTGAATAAAACATCAGCCTTGTGAAGACCTGGGGGAGCAGCAGTTTGTGTTGTGTGAGAATCGACGACTGCCAACCAAATCTGCTTTGCTCCCTGGCCATTCCCTCAGGTAGAGCTAATTGAGGCTGTATCATGACGGGTCTGCATGCATTATGCAGAACTGGTTCTCAGGCTGGGGAGCATTCTGAGGAAAGTGCTAGGATTGTGTGTGAGGGGCCTCAAGTGGGTCTGAGACTGGCACCGAGCCCAGTGGGGGTTGAAAGAAAGACGGGGTAGACAGCAGAAAACAGGGGGCTACCTGATTTGACTGTTGAGCTGAGTTTCTATAGGGCTGCCTAAGCAGTGCCCTTCAATTAGCGGAGCTCATGAGGAATGTTGAATGGACAGTTCCCACGCTGCCTGAAAGCTGTCTAGGTTTGAGGCTAATGCTCAGACAGTACTGACGGAATGCAAATCCCCTCCTTCTTCACAGCTTTGGCTCACAACGGTGACCTGGACAGGCCTGGAATGAGGCGGGGCAGTGCTGCTGCTCCCAGTGAACTTGGCTCCCCTGAGGTGCCTCCCAGCAGCTCAGGGTGCGGCCACGGCAGAGGAGGTGCCACCAAAGCAGCCACCTGGTCTCAGCCACGCACACAGCATGGCCTGGACTCTGCTCTGGCTCTCAGCTGCAGGACTTATGGGGCCTGCTGGGTGAGCAGTCATAGACATGAACCTCTCAAGATTCTGGGGACACCTGGAAATGTCCATAAGATATGGAAAGAATTCCTGTCCCAACAATACTTCAAGGTGCACATAATTAAATTTTTAAATAGATACTTTCTCAATCAGCGATTCTATTTGTAGGAAGGTACTCTAGAGACACGGACACGTGTGTGCAGAGGGAGCAAGCAAGGAGGTTCTCTGAAGTTGTCACATGATAAGTTGGCACTAACAAGGAAATTTGGGAATTACAAGTCTGGGATAGGCAAAGACTTCTTTCTTTCTTTTTGCTTTTATCAAAATACCATATTCATATAATTTTTTAGTAAAAACAAAACAAAACAAAAAGTATTTTCAAATGTTTTCCAGACTCTTGCCTGTCAGGATAACCACCTATTTCTACAGAAGAGTAAGGGTCACCTGTAGAGACAGTGGATATTTTAATTAATTGGTATCTTCTCCATCCCTTTGTGCCTACCCCTGGGGAAGTCTCTGGAAATGATCAAGCCTGCTCATGCTTCTGTTCTCTTAACACAGCGATTTTCAACCCATGTGCTGCAAGAATTTTTAAAACATACAATACCTGGCTATTTAGTCAGAAGCAAATTTCCCTTAGATTGACAAATTTAAAAAATGACAGCAGCCAACACAACAATAGTCATCCAGCATGCATGAATCAAAGTTATACCTTTTTTTTTTGTTAGATCGGCAAAAAAATACACTTTTTGGTGTTCTGCAGAATTTTAGTAATTAGTTTATGTGTGCCATGAGATGGAGGTTGAAAAATCGCTGCCCACACTGAACGAAAACTTTGTGGAAGAAGAAACACAGCACAGAACAATCCTGGGACAGTTCCGTAGTTTTCGTGTTATCTTGCCCAGCTGGAGCTGGCTCTGGGAGCTGCTCTCACCTGGGGTTCTGTGCGTTGCAATGGTAGATATACTCTGATATAGTATCATCTTCAAAGAAGTCTGCAAACTTGCGCTTGAAATCTGGTCGGAATCGCTGCACCAAGCCAGGCCCTGGGAGGGGAGAGGAGAACATGGAGGGGCCAGTTTGGGTGGTGGAGAAAAGACTCCTGCCTGTGCATGTTTCAACAACTTTCACCAACATCCTTTCTCCTATTCCTGGGACCCTTACAGCCCTGTCATCTTGAGGTAGTGAGTGAAACTAGACCATCTCCCAGGAGGAGGGTCATATTCAGGCCTGTAACATAATATGAGTCAAGAGGCCAACTTAACCCTGGCATTTCAGACTCGGGGCAGTTTTAGAGCAATCTGTTCTCTTCACCTTCTTTATATAGTTCACAAACAAGCAGGAGGCCACCCACAACAGATGTGTCAAAACTGGGGCCTACTGGTCAACACCTGGCCTCTCTCTTATGGTCTTTTCTCTGCATGTGAGAAGCAAGGGGCCAGAGGGCGGCACAGCCAGGGTCCGCTGGGCCCTGGCCTCCTCCATGGCTGTCAGCCACCTGCCACAACCACATGAGCTCTGATGCCCAGGCATGAGCCCAGCTAGATTCAAGTTCAAAAAACGGGAGGGTGGAGAGAACTGAGCTACTCCTGAACTCCTATCTTCTCCTCAAATGCTCATATTTCTCTTTTATCCAGAGCCATTCTGTTTCTCATGAAGGGCCTAGAGAGATAACTCTTATTTAGCCATTTGCAATGAACTCACAATGATGGGCTACTGAACATTACCATGTATACATAAGCCATTAGTGTAGGACAGAGGGTCACCAACCCTTCCCATAAAGGGCAGGTGCTTTCCACTTCGTCAGAGTAGAAAGCTCCCCAGAAAGTTAGGGTGCTGGCAGTCTGAGGTCAGAAGCCTAGGGCCTATTGATTTCACTTCCTCTGGCCGGCTCCCTTGAAACGCCTTCCCTCCCTTCAGCCCCGGAGTTTGCTGACAGCTACTAAATGGTGAAGGTGTGGTGTCTGACTAGAGCAGGGCATGGTTTCGAGGGGCTTGCCTGACACTGTGGGTTGTGTTGGAGGCTTTGGTTCTGACATCTCCCTGCTGCAGGTGCTGGGTGAGCTGCAGAGGTGGGATCCAGTGGTGGTTACCATGCTGAATCGCCGACAGGTTGCCATAAACTCACACAGGTAGCATAAGAATTCAGCGGAGGAAGAGTCACCTCAGGGTCCCTTCTTGCTCTCTCTCTCTCTCTCTCCTCTCTCTCTCTGGGGGTCTAACCAAGGCACAGAATAGTAGTTCTGCTCCATCTGTCCCTTGCATAGGAAAGCTTTTTCCATGCAAATGAAAGGAAAAAAAAAAAAAAAGAACCTTCTGAAACTGCAGACAAAGAAATCTGGTCCAGATTACTAGCTTGAAATAACAATGCTAGGTCAATTCCCACTTTTCAAGAACAAGCAAGGGTGATGGGAGTGCAGAGCAGCGGGGCTTCTAGAATGGGATAGCCTTGGTTTGAGGAGATAGTTTCTGTGTCTGCAGGCTACTCACCCCAGGGCCCAGCTATTCGAAGGACAGCCAGTGGGTTGGAACGCCCTAGGACAGAGGCCACAGCCTTGAACCAGGTCGGGGGTGCACGGATCTCACTGGGGTCAGTCGGCCGGAGGGGAAAGCCCCATGGATCCACCAAGATGAGGTGTTTAACTCTACAGGAGGACAAAGGAAAAGCTGTTTTTGCTTGGAGATACCACAGCCCTTAAATAACCCAGGACAAAAGAGAACCATTGGAGATTAATACCGGAAGGTTCCTAGTGAGGCAAGGAGTTGGATGAAGGACCCGGAGGGTAGGTCCTGCTTACCTTTCAGGGTACTTGATCGAGTAAGAAGTGGCCAGGAATCCTCCCAGACTGTGTCCTAGGAGGATCATGCTGGGGATCCCCATGGTCTCCCGCCACGTCTCTATTGACATCACAAACTCATTCTCGGCCCCTTCAGGGTCCCTCGGGAATGTCGGCCTGGAGCTTCTTCCGAAGCCGAGCAGATCAAAAGTGTGCAGTGTGCGGCGGGCGCTCAGTGAATCCATGTTGAGGATCCAGAGGCCCACGCCGCCCCCAAAGCCATGCACCATCACCAAGGGGGTGCGGTCTCTGAGCTCGGGGCTCACGGTCACCGTCCAGATCTTGTTCTGGTTTGGGAGCGACACATACCGGGCCAGGAACTTGTTCTGGAGACCTGTGGAGAGGAGATACAGAGCGAGCAATACATCTCTTTTCTCACAGCATCATCATTTTCCTGGATGGTCCCTCTTCAGCTCTGTCCCTCCATTTTCAAACCTACCTGACCTCCCTCACCTCTTTCCCTTTACAACCCTCTCACCAAACACCCCAAGAGTTAAACTCTGAGTACAATCTGTAGGCCATCTACTCTGTAGGTAATAAGAGTGGCCATCTTATTCCTCGAGGCTGTTTGCCTGGCTCCCTTTGGGCACAGGGTGCCAGTGACTCCACCACCCTACAGAGCTCCTGCACCCATTGCTCTCGTGCCTGTGTGCTTGGGGCTTGACAGATGGACAGAAGTGTCCTCACTAAGGATATCTGGGAAGAGGGCTGTTAGCTGGAGCTGAGACAGGTGGAGGGTGTGACAGGTGTAAAGTGAGCCATTGGCTTAGTCCACTTAGAGACAGACCAAGGTGGGTAGTGCTTGCTGGTGCGCAGGCAATTCCATGCCAGAGCTGCCTGGGGAAAGTCACATGGATCCTGGACAAAAGCTTGAAAGCTGTGGCTATTCTTCAGTTGTACTTACTCAGGCCCATAAGAGGCGAGCGTAGCTAGGGAAATAGAACAGGGCAGGTGAGATATGACAAAAACAGGGAGATGTGGCCCAAGGGCCTTGTTTGAACAGTGGGTGCTGATGCTCATGGAATGCTCTGCCCCAATATAACACTGCCCAGGAGCTGGTCTGGGGGAATCTTTAAGTCCTGTCTCAAACCAGAGAAGTGGTGGGGAAATAGTAATATGAGAGCATATAGGACTTGTTTGCTAGGCTTTGGGTTGCAAGGTGGTAATTCTAAGAAGTGCTTGTGTGTTTGGAAGAACAGACAGGGAGAAAGAAAGTAGAGAGGAGTAGGAGAAGGAAGAAAAGAAGAGAATATGTGTATTTGTGTGAGTTGTGTGCTCAGAGCTGGTATAGGGTAGGCGGTGAGGTTGTGGGATGTGGCAGGAACCACATGATGGACAGGGAGGGCGACACTGAGGAACCATTATCATAGAATTCAGTGTCCTCCATATAAATCTTTCCCCTTAGATCACTGACAACCTTTCCTCCCACCCCCAAACACTTTTTATCAGGAGTCAGAGGGCTCAGTGTACCAGGCTCGGGGAAGATCCCGGATCCTCCTTAGGCCTCCTGAGGGAGGTGGCACAGGCTGTCCCTGCTACTTACACTGGAGGATCTTGGCTTCCACATTCTTCAATTGAGACATCGAAGTGGGGCGCCAAGCCGGCAGCCAGCTACTCAGCCAGCCTTGAGGCCTGGGACAAAGAGACACAAAGAGACACAAAGGTGTTCATTGGCAACATTGGAAAGGAAACATTGATGCCCCGAGCCTTGCTGACAGATACAAAAGAGTTATCAGGGTACAGGGTGTTTTCCAGGCTCAGGAGACCTCCCACTATGGCAGTCAGCAATTCCCTCACGGCCTGATAGACTGTTACTCTTCTCTGGTAAATGGCTATTAACAACACGCTCTTTGTTTCCGAGGTCCTTGGAATATCATGTGCACAGCACTTTACAGTTTACAAAGCACTTTCACACGTATCTCATTGGAGCTTCACAAACCCTTTTGCCACTGGTTTTCATGTTTCAGGAGATTGTAAGGGGGGACAAAACCACTTTTAGCTACTGCCTCAGTTATCTTTTGCTATTTCCCAGGACTGAATGTTCCTTTAGAATAGGACAAGTTCCCATGCCACCTGCCCTCCTGGCAGGGCACTGCAGTTTGTGTGTGCCCTCTTTCAAGCCCCTGGAAGTATAGAGCACTGTCAGTGCCCAGTTGGGCTCTCGGGAAATCCTTCAGCAACCAGATGGGATAGGCAGCAAGCAAGAGATGGGAGACCTAGGTTCAAGTCCTGCTGTGAATCCCCAACTGGATACAGGTTGCCTCTGGCCTTGTTTTCAGATTATAAAATGAGTAAAACCCTCATATAGGTCTTATCTCCCATAACAGGCAATAAAACAGAGAAGATAAGCTATTCTGCTTTCTCCTTCATATCCACAGGAGTTTAAGTCATTGCAGAGTAAAGTTGAAAGCACCAGTCTTGGAATAAAAACAAACAAAACAACCCACCTTGGATCTGAGTCACAGTATTATCATTTTCGAGCAGAATGGTGTTGGCCTGATGAACAGCCTGCCTTTGAGCACTTAGGTATGGAAGGGAATGTATAAGGTGTCTGGTACAAATTAGATGCTCAATGAATAAGTTTTTGTTATTCCCTTTCCATTGCATATGATATATTTCTCTTTTCTGGGCGAAGAGGATTATAGAATGGATACACCAGCTGTGGGAAAGGCCTGTGAACATTAGTAGAGTCACACAGCATTCTGCGGGAGAACGAGAGAAATCACTGCCAACTTCTCCTCCCCTCCCCACAGCACACCCTGGGCATCCTGGTACATCAGTTGAAGCACAGAGCTTTAGATAAGGATGGCCCTGAGAAATCATCTAGCTTGATCTCTTTATTTTACAGATGACCAAACCGCTGCCCAAAGATGTCAGACAGCTAGTGAGAAAAAGAAGCAGAACTAGAAAACCCAGATTTCAAATTACTTCTTCTCTGGAAGTTCCAGTTTTGGCTTTTCAAGGCCATGCATGAATACTTAACAGTTTAGAACATAATTTTCACACTGGTTTCTGTTTTCTGAAAGAAGGTGTGATCTAAGGCCAGAAGGCCAGAATTCTATTCCTGGCACTGCCACTTAGCAGCAATATGACTTCCATTTTCTGTGTCAAACTTTCCTCACCTTTAAAAGGCTGGTAGTAATAGTATCTACCTCACAGATGAAGATTAAACGAGTGAATGCACCTAAAATACATAAAGTCTAGTACAAGATAAATTTCCCATAAACATTTCCCCCCAGCAAAATCATAAGCTGTTTTGCAAATAGCGAGTCAAATTGACTGTTTGAGGTTTGGAAGAAATACTGAGGTAGAGTGGTACATCAATGATTTTAGAGCCAGATGAGAGTTGTCAGTTTCATCAACCAAATCCTACAGAGACTCATAACCCTTTTAATTTCCCACTGGAATTCCTTGTAAGCTTGAAGCATCTGGATCCCACATGGCAGCACTCAGGAGAAACGTTGTTCCATGGAACAGCACTGTGGACTACTCAGCAGATATTCAGGGGGGTTTTACTTTGCCTCTCTTTTTCACCAAAACTGTCGCAGGTAAAGCCCTGGAAATATTATCTGGCACACTGAATCTGGTTAATACAATTGGGGAGGTGAGGGATGGAGATAGGGGGGTTCAGGCAAAAAGAAGAGAAGCCACTTAGTCATGAAGGCTGAGGTGGTCTCTTCCCTCTAGAGCATTTTTATCCCGACGGAAGTAAGGCAGAAGGGGTTCTGTGCGGGGTCTGTGATCTTGGGCAAGTCTTCTAACTTTTATGGGCACTGACTTCATCTGCAAAAAAGAGCCGAACCACCCGCATCTCACCCAGCTCTAATGCTGTTTCCTACGTCACTGTAGCTGTTGTCCAGTTCTTGGAAAGGTTATCTTAGAGAGCAACTCTCCTGGGCAGCTTCTTCCAGGCCAGGAAGCTACTGCTGTCATAAAGTTAATTCCTTTTGTAAACTGCCAGTGACGCTGATCTGAAAAGGGGGGCCGCGGGACCCACAAAAGGCCCTGAGCAAGTGAAACCTGAGGCTTGGCTGGGAGCTGAGTCATTCTTCTGGAAGCAACTTTGCCTGGCTCCTAGAGAGACTGCAAATGGCTAACCGCACCAGCTACAGGTGGCGCCCCAAACCCAATGCCCTTGAGGCGGTGGTGACAATTCCCAAGAGCTCTAATTTGGAGACCACAGCATAAAAGATAAGTTATGAAGATTAAGAACATGTATCCACTAGGATCGCAAGTTGCAAAGTGTCTCGGCGGGTGAGAACCAAAGAAGGCTTGCAAAAGCTCATTCATTATTCCAAGTAGACCAATGCCAGCGCGGTGGAGGCCATTCTCCTCTGCCCCTGCCCTCTCCGTGCCCTGCGAAAGGAGGCTCTTCCCACCCCCGACTTCCAAGCCAGGGCCAGTGCAGACAGGCAGACCTGGCTGCTAACCCCCCTCCCCCCCCCCCCCCCCCCCCCCCCCGCAACCGCATCCCACCAGCAAGCTTCGGTGGATCTCAGACATTCCCACGGGATCTGATCCCCGAATGCAGCGGGCGGAGGAGAACGAGGAGCGACCGTGGAGATTGACGGGGAAAGTTCGAATCCCGGAGCTGCATGCAGGCTAACTTATTTCCCATCGCTCCCCTGGCTCTGCCGCCGCCGCCGGGCAAAAGCAAAGCAAGCACAGACATCCCCCAGCCCTCCCCGGAGGCCGACCTGAGACAGGAAAGGCGGGAAGATGTCTAAAAGGTTCCTCAGCCACAGACAGTCCCGGGAATCAGGGGCTAGAGAGAGACAGAGAAAGGGAAAGGGACAGGGTTAACTCACTGCTGCTCCAGATCATCAGCCATAGTAAACAAGCCCTGCCGGGTCGAGCCGAGCCAGCCCATCCCTCTGCCTGACGCCAGCACCAGCTGACCTAGCAAAGGGTCGGATAACAAAGTGGGGCGGGGCCAGCGCGGCGCGGGGCAGGGAGGCGAGGCCCTCGGGACAGGGACTCGGGCCTGGAACCTGGGCGGGTGGGTGGCGGGGACCCCGCACCACGGGTGCAGGCGGAGTGGTTTCCCGGGCTCGCAGAATAGTACCGTAATTCTGGGCACACGTTTGGGAGGCTGTGAGGGAGGTGAATAGTACCGAAACCACCCAGTCCCTCCCGGGAGCACACCAGCCCATCGTGCTCTCATCATCAGAAAGTGACAGGACTCCCTCCCCGCCCCCCAGCAGGTGCTCACACTTTTTGCGCTTCCTTATTCTATAGCTCCCCTGCTGTCCTCGGAAGTCCTCCCCTGCTGCCCTTTCTAATCAGGTGCTTAGGATGTTTGTGGAGACCACACCGCTGGTTAAATGCTCCTCCCAAGGGCCCCGTGCCCTAAGTAGATGGCCAGGTTTCATAAATAAAGAACAGGACGCCTCCAAGTTAAAGCTGAATTTCAGGCAAACAACAAATACTATTATAGAACTAGTAAGTTCCGTGTAATGTTTGGGACATGACTTGGCATCCTGTATTTTTAATTGTCAACCCTAAATCTAAGCGACATTATTTCCAGATGCAAATCCTTTGGTCTGGAGGCTCCCTAACCTAGTTTCCAGGAAGATGTGGCTCAACCCCGGTCTCTCACAGTTTGGAAGATCCCCAGCTCCCTCCTCCTCCTCCTCCCTCCCGCCACTCAGTGTACAAAGTAGTACAATAGCAGAGGACCTATCTCTGGAGGGGGAGTTGAACTAACAAGACTAGGCCTGCTTTAGGGGTGTGGGAGTTTGGAGGAGAGGGTGGCTGGCTTGGCTCAGAGTTCCCAAGTGTACTTCAGGTTTGCTCGGCAGGGGAGCCAAATCTTGAGGGTAACTCCAGACCTTTACCTGAACTGGTAAACAGGGTCTGGTGTCCCTGGAGCTGTCTGATTTCAGGCTGTCCCTAGGTTAGGTTAAAATTAGACTTTGGGAGAATGCTAGTCCCGAAGGGTTTGTCAAGGTGTTTTCTTTAGCTATCCTTCAGGACTCGGGAGAATGAGATTTCTTCTTTCTTGTGACACAGTGTCAAAATGATCTATCATGGTAAGGGCCTAAATGTTAAGAAAATGGGCATTTATACAGCTTAGGGGCCTAGAAATTTGCAATATATACTGAGTGGCCAGATTATTATGATCTCTGAATGCATAATAATCTGGCCACTCAGTGTATATCCTATATAATAAAAGGCTAATGTGCAAATTGTCCCCTCAACCAGGAGTTCAACTGGCAGGCAGGCTGGCCAACCGCCCATGTCCCCTCCCCTGACCAGGCTGACCGGATACCACCCATGCACCGGGCCTCACGCGTTCAGAGATCATAATAATCTGGCCACTCAGTGTACAAAGTAGTACAATAGCAGAGGACCTGTCTCATTCATTCATCCCTTCAACAAAGCGGAGTGGTCCTAAACTTCGGTGTGCCTAAGAATCATCTGGAGGGCTTGTTAAAAGGTTTCCTATCCTCTGAGATTCCAATTAAGTTGCATTGGCTTGGTGCTAAAAAGCTGCATTTTTAGGAAACATTCCAGATGCAAGAGTTTAGCCTGACACATTGGTTAAGCAACAGCTTCTGGGGTCAGAAGCCTGGGTTAAGGTCAATCATGATTTTGCCACTTATCAGCTACGTGCCCTTGAATAAGTGATTTACTGTTTCTTAATTTTCTTTCTCTGTCTTGTGCCTTATTGTAAGGATTAACCAAGATAATTCAAATAAACATTTAGTACACTTATTTATTCTAGAATGTTACTTATTCTATTATTGTCATTATTATATACAAATGTATTCAAAGCCAACCATTATTTTAGACACCAACAATACCATTATCAAAAGGAAAAGATAACCCTGGCTGGTGTGACTCCGTTGGTTAGAGTATTGACCTGTGCACCAAAAAGCGGTGGGTTTGATTGTTGGTCAGAGCACATACCTAGGCTTAGGTTCTATCCCCAGTGGGGACACAGAGTAATGATATTTCTCTCTCTTTCAGATTAATTTTTAAAAGTTATTATAAAAATAATAGCCCGCTCTAGTGGTAAACATAGATTTTCTATCTGCTGCTATCCTAGGCTGTTTATCAGCAACTTTGTATTTAGAGTTCAGCTCAAACTTCCCCTCTTCTGCTGAAACTGGTTTCAGCATTCAGTGGATAGAGCATTGACCTGTGGACTCAAGGGTCCCAGGTTCGATTCCATGTACCTTGGTTGCTGGCACATCCCTGGTGGGGGGTGTGCAAGAGGCGGCTGATCTATGTTTCTAACTCCCTATCCCTCTCTCTTCCTCTCTGTAAAAAGTCAATTTTTTAATTTTTTTAAGTCTACATTAAAAACAAAACAAAACAAAACAAAAAGCTTCCCCTCTGCTGAGGCCTTTCCTGACCTCACGGTCTAAAAGAGTCACCTAGTCTATCACATTATTTTCTTCATAACACTTATCACTCTCTGAAATTCTCATGCGTATTTGTTTACTCTCAATTATTATCAGCTTCCCTCCAATACAGTCTAAAGTTCACGGGGGACCTTGTCTGTTTTTTTCTCTGCTCTGCTGCCAGCACCTAGGACAGGATGTGACACAGAGTAGACAATCAGTACTTACTGGACAAATAAATGGATGAAAAGTCTAACCAGGAGGAGATAGTTAAACAATCACCTATAAAACAATGCACTAAGTGTCAAGGGCTTTGGGAGTGGTATTTTAAATTGTACTACATGGGAAATTCTAGGCTACATTACTTGGAGTCAGGGCAACAAAACCTCCCATTTTTCTGAAAACCTGTAGAATGGAGAACTTTTTGAGGCAAGAATGACTGGCTGTAACTCTCCCAACCTCATCTCAGGAGGCAGTGCAGAAGAGTCTTTGATGTGCCAAACCAGCTTTACAGTAGAGGTCGCTTGGAAGTAGGAAACTCGAACATATGTAAAAATGCCTGTGATAATCAAAGTTAATAGATCTCTTAAGATGCTGAGATATCTTAGGACTGGGTTAGATCTGTTAGAGTTATAGCGTGAAGAAGACTCTCAGTGCCTGCTCTGGACAGGCCTCTGGGGAGATGGGTAAGGTATTTTTTTCTCCTTATCTTCAAGACAAGATTCACTATGCAAGTATGAAAGATTCTCCCATCTACCTCCAACATGTGTGATTAAAGTGCTAGTATGGTCTTTATGAATAAACCTAACTTTGACAAACCCTCTTTCCTGTGCCTGTAAATTATGTTAAACATTCCAGAAATAGGTGGAATAACCTAATAGCTTAGGCTTCACAGGGATGGATCATTCTTCTGTTTCAAATGTGTCATTGCCTTTTTTTTTTTTAATCTTTTTTTTTTAAATATATATTTTATTGATTTTGTACAGAGAGGAAGGGAGAGAGATAGTTAGAAACATCGATGAAAGAGTCATCGATCAGCTGCCTGTTGCACACCCCCCACTGGGGATATGCCCGCAACCAAGGTACATGCCCTTGACCGGAATCGAACCTGGGACCTTTCAGTCCCCAAGCCGACGCTCTATCCATTGAGCCAAACCGGTTTCGGCTGTCATTGAAGAAACTATGACCAAGGTGTAACCCTTGGATTAAACATAGGAATTGAATAGAATAGTTGTAAAGTTTCTCAGTCCAATATGTTAACCACTAGCTACATGTGGCTATTTAAATTTAAATTAATAAAAGTTAAATAGCCCAGCCAGTGTGGACCATCGACCTATGAACCAGGAGGTCATAGTTAGATTCCCAGTCAGGGCACATGCCCAAATTGCAAGCTTGATCCACAGTAGGAGTTGTGCAAGAGGCAGCCAATCAATGATTCTCTCTCATCATTGATGTTTCCATCTCTCTCCCCCTTTTCCTTCCTCTCTGAAATAATAAAAATATATTTTAAAAAATTTAAATAAAAGTCACCCTAGCTATATTTCAAATACTCAATAGCCACAAGTATCTAGTAGCTACCATACTGGACAGCACAGAGACGTTTTCATCATCACAGAAAATCCTATTGGGCAATGTTGTCAAGCACAAATTATTTTAGCCCAAAGTGTAGAGAGTGTTTTACCTGTAGACTGTTTTCATGCCAGGGAGGGAGCAAGACTGAGGGGTTCTCTTTATCAGACTCTCAGAGCTAAGAGGTAAGGAAATCAGACAAAGGGGCCTGAAAATTTGTTCCACTCCATCAGAGGCTGCAAGGACAGTTATCCTATATAATAAAGAGGCAACATGCAAATTGACCATCATGCCCTTGCACAAGATGGCTGCCCCCATATGGTTACAAGATGGTTACCCCTATGTTGTTACGAGATGGCCGCACCATGTGGTCACAAGATGCCCATGCCCATGTTATCACAAGATGGTCATCACAAGATGGCCAGCAAGGGAGGGCATTTGGGGGCAAACAGGCCAGCAAGGGAGGGCAGTTGGGGGCAACCAGGCTGGCAGGGGAGGGCAGTTAGGGATGACCAAACTGGCAGGGGAGTGGTTAGGGGATGATCAGGTTGGCAGGCAGAAGCGGTTAGGAGCAATCAGGCAGGCAGGCAGGCGAGTGGTTGGGAGCCAGCAGTCCTGGATTGTGAGAGGGATGTCCGACTGGCAGATAGATATCCCCCAGATTGGAGTGGGTGCAGGCTGGGCTGAGGGACACCTCCCTTCCAGTGCACGAATTTCATGCACTGGGTCTCTTGTGTTAGGATAAAGGGATATGGGTTCATTAAAGATTATTTGCTGCTTTATTAGGATTTAAACAGAGAGTTGATACTATAGAAATTTGACTTTGTGCTGTTTGAAATTTGATTTCTCTTAAAATTTTCAACCTTAAAATAATAACCTATTTAATACATTCGATTAGAAAACAAGGTAAAAG